TGCACATACAAATCTCGACCATGCTTGACCGGAAGCCGGAAGCGGGTCAAGGACGAACCTGTTCGGCGCACACATACAGTCGCGCAATGCAGGCAGCTGTCGCGAAACGATTGAAAAACCGGATACGGCGTCATATGGCCCATTCATTCACTCATCCCCCATATGCCTTCGGTCCACGGCGATGCGCGCCTTGGGACTCAGTGAATGCGGCCCGGGCCTTGCTTCAGTTAGACTCGTGCCGCTGCTGCACTTCCGTTTGGACACTCTTCCTTTTCCCCCAATTCACCGCGTCGACCGGTGCAGGCGGCGCGAGGGCGCGAGCCAAGGGGAACAGTCGGCCGGCTTCCCTTGCTCCTCTGGCTTCATTCTTCCCTTCCCTTGCGGCCTGCCACGCCGCGCCACGCCACGCCACGATCCTCAAGGGCACTCCGAGGCGTGACCTGAATACGACAGGAGTACAACGCGACGAAAAACACAATCCGAGACACAATCATGAGTGAATGAATGACTGAATGGGCAGTGGGCGCTCGGTGCGCTCGGCGCGCGGCCCGCCGACTTGGCTGTCTGTCTCTCGAGTCGTGAGCCGCGCGACACCTGTCTGTCTCAGACGCCAAGGACACCTACAACCCCGCCGTCCGTCCGTCCGTCCGTCCGTCCAGCCATCTCACTATCGAACTCACCTGCTGTACGTTGGGCAGGGGGAAGTCTTGCTTGGGCGGGCTGAGGATGAACTGCTGCAGGTTGTCCGGGATGCCAACCTGCTGCAAGAAGTGGTTGGCGGGCTGTTGCTGCTGCGGCTGGGCTGAGGGGGCGGCGCTGCCAAACAGCTGCTTCGGCTGCGGGGAGGCGGCCGGAGGGAAGAAGGGCGAGTGCGAGGGCGACGCTGCGGGGAAGTCTTGCGGGAAGAAGCTGGGCTGCCTCGCCTGTCAGCAGGAGGGTGAGATCGTTAGTAAGGGGTAACAGGTAATTAGGCTTGTATGTGCCCTTACATGTGATCTGTATATAATCATGCGATATATACTTTAAAATATTTTTTCCGTATGACGACATGTATGGTTGTACATGATCATGTGAGCCTTTATATGCGTTTATATACTGCTATACCAGATGGCTGACTCAAGCTACGCACTTTCGTTGCGATACTGTACACTGTAAAAATATATTTTAAATTTACAGCTGAACATTTTACAGGCTTTTGAAAAAGACTGCAGTTATGTTTAGTGAGTAAAGGTCCCATAACGCCTGATCGGTAGGCAACATCTTGCCTAAAGTGCATGCGTGTAGTGTGGGGTTGCCTACCCTGAGTCTCGCAGGCGCCCAGCTCTCAGACAATGACATATGCAAGTGCACGACAGAACTTTGCACACTTTTCAGGTTTTTAGAGTTGGACTTCATCCGTAAGTGTTCAACTTTAGGGTTGGCAATGCATATTTGGACACATTACATTGTTCAAATTTCCAGTCCAACAGCTTAAAGTGTGCATAATGGAGTTGAACAGTTAAACACCACTATGTGCATGCCAGTTACGCATTTTTATTTTTAGTGTGAAAACTCGTGACGACAATACCCAAGGTGTATAATTTCTTGTAGCAAAACAAAAATCATCAATGTGGTTTTAACAATGCTCATACAGCATCTCTCACCGAAAAGATCTGCCTCTGCACGACGGGTGCCTTTGGCGGCGTGAGGCCAAAGTCGTCATCGATGAGGGAGGCGGTGTTGGCGGGGGCGTTGTTGCCCTGGGCCCGGCACGTCGGGCAGGGCGCGGCCAGTGGGACCCACTCGCTCTCGGCCGCCTCCAGGTCCTCGGCGGACCTCTGGCGGGCGTCGGGGGCGGGCGCGGACCAGCGCGCCTGGGGGCCGGCCGCACAGGCGGCCCCCGTCACTAGGAGCATCAGCCCCAACCACCTCATCTGCAACAAACAAACATTGGAACATTAAGAATAAGTTAATTTTTACCGGATGATACATATAACACTAAAACTAACAAAAAAACACGTAACTCAATATTGAACACACATGTGTTTAACATAGGTTACGAGGTTATGTAGATGCCATTAGGAGAAAAACACAGGCCGTGTCCAAATCAATGACACCCGTAATTTCACCAAGAGAAAATAGGAATTTGCAGCTATTAGCAGTGCTTTTTTAAATGAAAAAAATCCCCTATTTTGATGCTTCAAGCGTGTTCCCGGGTGCGGACCCCGGCGGCCCTAATGGAGGCGTCACGTCACGTGGCGGACGACGCGATGCCTTTCTTCGACTCGCTGCCGCCGCTCCTTTCTTCTTCAAAAACACTGCGGCGGGGAATAGAACTCACGACCTTGTGGCGCCTGCAGTCACGCCGGGGCGCAGCTGGGCGCAACGCGCCAGCCCATCACACAGACAAAAAAAACCTCAAACAATAAAATCACCTCATAAGAGACCTTGGGGTGCTTCAATGGCATCAAGCTGCGCTCGATTTTCGTTGAAGCAGTTTTGTCAGTAAAACTTTCAAAAAAAAAAAGGAGCTGGGGGTGGAGTAGGAGGTGACCAACCAGCTCTGTATTACCGGCGAGCAGCAAACGTCGGCCAGCCAGCCGCTTATGCAACGCAGAAAGAAAAAGAGCAGCTAACAGTAACAAAAGAGGTGTGACCAAGAGGGGAAAAAATGCGAAGCCGTCATACCGCCCCGCCCAGCCGAGAAGAGGCGGGAGGAGCGTCTCGGTGAGAACTGGAGGAGGTCTATTGGGGCAGAGGGCAGCGCTGCCGGCAGCAGTCGCGAGGTGTCTCTACGCCCCTTAATAATAGTCCCGTCACGCCTCGTATTGTTTGGAAAGCATATTTTTCTGCTCCCTCTCTCTCCCTCTCCTCCACCATCGGGGGACGACGCTAGAATACAGGTGCACTCAGTAGCGAGAGGGTGACTCCTGTGCTACGAGTATAAGGTCGGTTTTCCGAGGCTCTGCCGGGCGAGAGTTTAAGATTAAAGGTAAAGGTCGAATATAAAGAAAACAAATCGTGCGTAGTGTGTGGATAGGATTACAACGTGAGATGCCCGGGACGAATTCGCGCTCCCTTCACAGATAAAAGGTAACATCAGTTGGTCCCTGGAGAGAATCCTCGCCTGGAGCTCCCTTTAAAACAACGCCGCGCGAGGCTTTTGGGAAACTAAAACGAACTGGTAATAATTTTCGGCGCGAATTAGAGCTACCCGATCGTGATGCTGTTCAGTCCAGAGGTTCGCGACATACAGGGAAGACCAGTCTCAGCAGCTCTGCCGCTACTAACAAGCGATGTAAGTGCGCTGCTAACTACTCTAACAGCAGCAAACTGTTCGAGCGGAAAGGAGGAGTTGCCTCGGCCGAGCTCCACGCGAGAGGTACACAGAAAAGAACAGACAACCCTAAATTCCAATCGCGATAGAGGTATAGCACGCACATTGTAAAAGATGTTTTGTGATTACCCCACATCTGCTCGGTAAGGAGCAGCTGTGTGAAGTCCCTACAAATCTTCGTAGTCAAAAATCGAACATTTTGCTGTCTCAATTTTAAATCGTTGTCGACTAGTCATCATTCTTCTAGAGTTAATCAATTGTTGATAACGAAAAAGAGTTCTGTTTTACCCCAAAATCACGATGAGTTCTGGCAACTTTTTCACAACGAATTCATCGTGAAGATTCGACTTTCTTCCTAACAGTGCGAACGAGACCTCCTTCTCCCTCCTACCACGGATCCACTAATGAACTCGATTAGACCATCGCTGTATTCGGACATTCTTAATAAATACAATACACACTGAAACTAAGAGGAAACCCTCTAAATTATGGAAACGTCATGATGATAAAAAGTAAAGAGTAAGATCCTAGAGAATGGAGCTTGACCCGCGATTATCGCGTCCCCTCGCTAGGCGGCTGGAGGTGAGAGATAAGCCGATGGCTTTTAGTTTCCTTAGTTTCTCTTTCATGCCGGGGGAATGCCCCACAATACCAGTCTAAGCTTGTGTGTGTGTGTGTGTGT